ATGTGTATATATATATATAGATATATATATATATATATATCTATATATATATATATAGATATCTATATACATACATAGAAACAATCACGTGTCTTCCTTCCCCCATGCTATCAGAGTGATACACCAGGCATATTAGCAGCCCCATAGTTTTAGAGCCACAAATATGTAGGCAATCAACCATACCCTGCAGCATCGAACATGTACCCTAAAAAAAATAGAGGAGCTCCTTTTGAAAATGCAAGTCTGTAGCAGAATATAGGGAGTGAAAGGGACAAATATGAAGCATTATTTTTTTAATATTCTGGATTGTTTGCTAAAATGATTGTTAAACTTAGCTAAAAAACTTCTCTATAAATAAACAGAGATACAGCGGACATCTTCAATGATCCCAGCAGTTTAAGATTCATATGAAAATTTAGAGTTCATCCACACAGTAACACATTTCATTGCTGTACAATAGTAATATACGAGTCCATTGATGACCCAGTGTAAGCAAATTTCAGTCAAAGCAGTTGAGGTTAGCTCATGCAAATTCATTTAACAACTGAAACTTAATACATATAGTATACAGTACGATTTGACTTGAAAAAAGTCAAACTGACTATTGATTATCTGCAACATAATGTAATATGTACTATTATAATGCATACTTGTTAAGTCATATTTATGATGCATTCCTCTTTTTTTCAGTTTGTTGTGGGAAGAGATGGAGTTTGTGGAACCATATGTGAACATTCTCCTTTTGATGGAATAGTCCTTGTACAATGTACCGAACATTTGTTGAAGTACATGTAAGTTGTAAGATTTTGCTTAGTGCAATGATGATCGCAAGCCAAAAGCAACAAATCAAAGACAAGCTTTTATTACTAAAAGTATATAAATATAGGAAGCCATGACATGATCAGTTACTGTGCAAGTGCTTCCTTTCTGTGATGTATTATGATGATACACCCAGTATGAGGCCTAAAAGTAATCTACCAAAAGCTGATATGCACGCAATGGGTAGCTGCTGACATTGATTGGTAACTGTCTTCTTAGAGCGAACCTGTCAGTAAATCTTCTAAAACTACGCCTTCTTCCATCCCCATGCCCAGTGTGAGGTCCTTCAGTGGCCATTAAGGGCAGGCGGGTTGGTGGAGCCTAACTTAGAAATCAGCTCCTTGTAACAAAGTAAGCTACATCAAAGAAGTATTTTGTGACCAATGAAATAGCTGGTGGCTTGCAGTGCCTGCTTTTAAGCAACACCTTTATGTTAAAAGATGAAAATGAATGACATTGGTCACCAATCCCCAAAAGTGACATCCTTGAGCTACAGAAACTTCAGAGAAGAGCAAAATGAATAAAGGGGATGGAGGGCCTGAGTTATGAAGACAGACTACAAAAATGTAACCTGTTCTCCTTAGGGAAGAGGCACCTAAGAGGAGATATGGTCACAATTTGCAGACTCATCAGTAGGGACTGCCGTAGTGGAAATAAACTGTTTAAGCTAAGCATAGGACATGAGGGCACAACAAGATGTTGGATGAGAAGAGGTACAGTCTGAGACTGTGCAAGGGCTTTTTTTTACTGTCACAGCGGTAGAAATGTGGAATTCCCTGCCGCTGTTAGTAAACTGCTAAAAAAAATAAAGGAACACTTTGAAAACACATCAGACCTCAATGGGGAAAAATATCATGCTGGATATCTACTGTATACTGGACTGGGTAATGTGTTAGGAATGAAAGGATGCCACATCGTTTGATGGAAATGAAAAATGATCAACCTATAGAGGGCTGAATTCAAAGACACCCCAAAAATCAAAGTGAACAAATGATGCAGCAGGCTAGTCCATTGTGCTGAAATTTCATTGCAGCAACCCAAAATGGTACTCATTAGTTTGTATGGCCACCCACGTGATGGTATGGATGACTGACAACGTTGGGGCATGCTCCTGATGAGACAACGGATGGTGTCATGGGGTATCTCCTCCCAGATCTGGAGCAGGGAATCACTGAGCTCCAGAACAGACTCAGGTGCAACCTGGTGGTGTTGGATGGACCGAGACAATGTCCCAGAGGTGTTCTATTGGCTTCAGGTCAGGCGAGCGTGGAGGCCATTCAATGGTATTAATTTTTTTAAATATTTTATTTTTATTTATTTTTTATAAACTTAATTTTTTTATATTTATCTTTATTTATTGATTCATTTTTTATTAAATATTTTTATTTTTTAATTTACTTTTAGGGGCTTTGGGGAAATATTAGGGGTATAAGCAGACCCCTGATATTTCCCTTTTAAAATAGAAAAAGAGACTGAGAACACAAAGTCCTCAATCTCTTTTTCTGCAGCCCCAGTTATCAATGAACAGGAATCCTCTATGAGTGTTCCTGTTCATTGATAACCGCCGCCCACACACCTCTCTGCCGGACTGTGACAGGAGGCTGAGCGGTGCGGGAAGAGAGACGCCGGCCGCTCACAGCGCTCTCCTCCCGCAGCGCTCGGCCGGCTGTCACACTTTTTCTCTCCTCCCCACTGGGACACAGAGCAGCGCCAGACACACAAACTGCCGATGTTCGAGTCGAACTCACATTTGGCTCCAACATCGAGCCCAACCCTAGTTGGTATCATACCAACAGGGGAAATATAAATTGAAAGGCAGTGGCTGGCAAGATTAGGAAAGTGTATAAGTGTCACCTAGGTTTCTCACCTTATAATAACTATAACATTTAATACTGTGTTTTCTACACATTATAGTTACTATTAGGGATGCACCAATACCGTTTTTTTGGTATAGTGTACCAAAAAAAATTTCCGGTACTCACTGATACCGAAAGTCCCATTACGGAAACTGGGCAGCGCCTGGTTTCCTGGTTAGCCATAGCGTGTAATGTACCGCGTTCCTGATACTGGAAGTTCCACTATCAGGATAGGCATTGGAAGCATTTGGGTGAGTACAAGTACTCGCACAAATACTCGGTATCGGTACCGATACTAGTATCGGTGCATTCCTAGTTACTATGTGTAATGAGAAAACAGAAAAAGTAAAAAAAAAAATGTAATCTTGCCCTATTGCCCTATGCATGTCATTATACAGTTTGTGTCCCGATGCTTTAAATATTTTTTTTTATTCAATTTTCAGGAAGAGTAGTCCCAAAAAATTAGTAAGAGCCGATTCAGTCAGTGAACTCCGAGCACCTAGAAGACTTAGGTGGAAGTGTTCCCCTGAAATGCAAGGCCATCTGGCCTCTGCTGCTGAAAAGCTACAAAGGTATGTATTTGGTTATTACCCATTTATCGTATCCTAAATACATTATGTTTGGACAATGTTAGTTCTCAGCAAATATTTGTATTTTTGTATATTTTTAATAAAAGGTTTCCATTTTTATTGTAGTGCCCTGGCTGAATTTTATTTGTGCATTTATTGCCAGATATGCTAGAATGAATAAGTAGCAGATCATTCTATCTTCCAAAGGGTGCTAATATTAAAGAGTGTGAAATACATTCTCAGCTGTGTCCCGTTTTCACCCTTCATTTGCCAGCTTAATAATTGTTTTTCTCTGTCGCCTTTCTGCCCCAATAAAGCTGGAGCAAGTATCCACCATTGTGCCATGTCCCATCACTGAGGTTGTAATACACAAACACAATGGAAGCTGCATACCTCCAAATCTTCTGAGATGAGAAAGAGTGACACCTTTTAGCACAATGTGTTTAGGCAATGGACATACCCCTGACATTTATATTTCAAAAATAATTGGTTTAATCCAGAAATGTTTTTTTATTATGGCATTGCTGCAAACAAGACAATTAAGAGATAGGATGAAGATTTTATTGCAGAATAATACTTTTGTTAATTAAAAAGTATCTTTTTGAAAATATCTGTACATCCGATCAAAAAGGGGGACAGTTGAGGAGGAAAGAGGGACAGAGGGATTTGGTTCCAAATAAGAGACAGTTGGGGGGGTATTGAAGATGTACCGACTGTAGAAACAAAGGTCTAATTTTTCTGCTTGTGTTTCTGTTGTTGTGTAACAAAGTTCCATAATTTGAATTCCCTTTACTGTTAGCCAATTATAAAACCACAGCTTACTATGGGAATGTTTAAGAGACTGTATTGTCCTGTGCAAACAGCTCTAGGATGTAAAATGAATCATTCAGTTTTAAAATCTCTTAGTCCAGACTTTAGACAGCAGACTGCACAGGACACAACAGTTTCTATATAGCATCTTCATATTAAGTGGTCTCAATATAACGAATGCAGCCTTTACACAGAGAGTAGAATGAACAACCGCCACAGGGGAATTGTGCTGTTTAACTTGTGCTCTGCTGTCTAGACATAGATGACTTGCTGCTGAGGATACTTGTTGGAAAACACACAGGCTATATACTTCCTATACTGCTTCCTATAGTAAACACTGCAACAGCCACTCAATTAGATTATGACGGAAATACAATGCTATTTGCAAAGGCTCCAGGAAGATAATCAAAGCAGGTCTCCAAACAAACAGCTAATGTTCATACTGTAAGCATAGGGATACAATACATAGTGTATATGGTTACTGTTCTACGGGGGGGGGAAACCCTGTAATTCTAGACATCCTTTCTTGTGATTCACCCACCCTTGTCACACTACAAACTGGAAGTTCCCTTTAGATCTTCCAAGCTGAACACCACCCTCATCATCAGACATGGATAATGATAAAGATTCTGTAGTCTGTAGGTGGAGGGGGTAACATAGAAAGTTTAATTTTTTTTTATAAAGTTTTTTTATTAAATTATTTAAACTGTATGTAACCCCTACCACCTTCAATGGAGTGGCTACTAGAATTTTAGTGATTGCCAGAGCTGTAGTCGGTCTGGCTAAATTATAGTTGGCATTTGTTTGGAATTCCAGGTGTTCTGGCATTGATTATACCTGCCCGATTGGAGTGTGGCTCTGCTGCAGTTTGGGACTACCAATGAGGGGCACTGTAAGTGTGTGTGCAGTCCACCAGCCAATCACTGGCACTGCTGGGACGGGGCATTGCCATATGGTCAGTCTGGCTTCAGCCATGGATTAGTCCAGGTTGGGGTGCTGTCCAGCCTTCCCGAGCTAGACCTGGGGGTGGGAATACTTGAGTATGGAAAATGCTCTTAGGCCTCAAGTATAGAGGAGGCCTCTGCTATTGTTGGAGGAGGAGAACCATGGAAGCTGATGGCTGCTGGAGGTGCATGGAATATAGAGGACCTCAGGAGCAGGTCCGGAGTTTCTCCTACTGAAGATCTGTGCCAATCCCTATTCAACAGTGCTCCTAATGAATCTACATTGAATTTCTTAAAGGGACCGGAGAGTCTGGAATCTGTCTATTTTTCTCATGGATGTCCTAAGCCCTATACCCTCTCTCTCAGTGTGGCTATGTTAATAAATTTCCTCAGCATCATACTTGGCCTGGATTTCAACTATGTTGGTTACTAGAAGAGGGTGGTTAATGCTAGTGGGATAGCTGGTTACTAAAATCCCCTAGACAGGCTATGGCTGACCAGAGTATTCCAGCGGCTCCTTCAGGGGTGAGTGCTACATGTATTTCCACTTTTGCAGTCAAGTTTGAGAAGCCTTACTATATGTTTGCTACATATTCACATTCACCCAGCATACCTAAAAGAAATTATAAAAAGGTTTTATTTTTTTCATTTAGAGCAGGTTTATACATAGGAATCTATAGGCAGCTTCTATTGTTTAGAATAGCTTGCAATGTGCAATTAGAGCACAGGCTGAGGGAGTTTTTTTTTTAAGTGCATTAACATACAGTACAATGTACGCACCCAAGCCTTGAGATCTTTAACCCTTTACTAGGGCAGACAGTATGCATATTGAGCGTACAACTGATAAATGAAGATCTGCCAGCACAGTGCAGCCAGGGTTAACTATACTAAACATAACTCTCCAGCCCCCTCCTGAAAAATACACACAACGAGAAAGCTGTGTAAGATATGTTTTATAGAATTTTTCAGCCAAAAAAGCAGCGGCTTTTCTATTTCTATTTTTTTTAAGTTATTCTATGTGAATAAGAACATATACAAAATTAACATAGGAGTTAAGTTAATTTGGCTGCATAATTGGAAATACACTTTAAGCAGGAAGCAGATGTGCCAAGTTCCTGGCTATGTAGTGTAGAATCACTGGACTGTCTGTACAATTATCTTAGTTGTTTAAATTGTACTTTAATAGCAATAAACTAGATTGAATGAATTAGAACGTTCAGAGGCTGTTGCAGGATGTTGAAGATATGTTCTTTTATGTCTATACCTTACCATGAAAAAGGAAATTCATACCCCAGCTACTGCATTTAGCAGTGTTAAAATAATGGAGACACTGCACACATTCATTACTGACAAAATGTGTACTAAATCTCCTGGATATGAGTGTGTTTAATTTATAACATCCAGTGCGTAATCCCACCCTTTTCTGTGTTTCCACAGGATAGTGAATAATCTTGATTTTACAGTGTATAAGTTTAAAAAGTATGGAAAGGAGTTTATCAAAAAGCAGAGAATGAGTCCTGATGCTTTCATCCAGTTATCACTTCAGCTTGCGTTCTACAGGTAAGACATTTACTGTTTAATAACAATTTATAATAGTGTTTCCCTTGGCTATGTCCCCCTACTGTATATATTATTTACAGTACAGTTTCTACAAAATTAAGCAACATTCCTCTTATGTCCACATTGTTGTTTTCATTATATTATCTGCTGACTGGGACTCCAGTTAATAAAATAAGTAAATATTTGAAATTGGCTTGGATTTTTCAACATTAAGGCCCCAATCATACTTGAACTGAGCATCTTTGGCTTTTTATTAGCGTTTGTTCAGGGGTTTTTGTACATACATGCTTGCTTTTTAGCTACTAAACAAAAAAAGCTTCAAAAGCCTGGCTTTTTTGCCACTCCTGTTGAAGTCTGTTGGGTCCAAAATCCCTAACTCTGCTCTCAAAGAAGATCATGTACTTTTTCAAGCTACAGACATTTTGCTACATAGACAGAATGTTCGGATGTGAACTGTGGTCATTGAAAACAATATGATTTTTCCTGGTGAGCATTGTAGCGCTTAGGCATTCAAGCTACAAAACACCCAGGTGTGAAGGAGGCCTGGTTCACACCTAGGCAGCACAGTTTAAGCGATCTGTACGCGTGTGGGCAGTATACGTTTCTTTGCGCGTTTAGGCACGTTGTGGAAATTTTTATGCGCGTTTTGACTGGCAGCTCATAAAACATTGCGGGCAATGGAAGAACACGCTTTTAAATGCGCAAAAATACTCACGAAAATGTGCAACATGCTTCTGCTACGTGCTTTCGGGCATTTCCATTGAAGTCTATGGGGCAAAAACGGATTTTTAGCTGCCCAAAAGAACTCATGTACCTTTTGGGGCGTTTGGCTTTTTCTGCTCAGGTGTGACCCAGGGCCATTGAAAATCATGGGATTTCTTTTGTTGGGCATTTAATAGCACTTTTCCAAGTGCTCAAAAACTCCTAGGTGTGAACCAGGCCTTAGGGAAATTCTTGTAATGAGTTATATTCTTTAAAAAAAGGGAACTATGGCTCATTTTAATACAGCACTGAATTAAACCTTCAAATGTTTTTGTATGTGAGACACTTGTAACGCCCAATGATTAGAGAATAGCTTAGCCATACCTAGTGCTGAACTGAAGGCTGTTACCTTATTCCACTGGTCCACAAGGAGAAAGTGAAAGTAGCTAAACTTTACCAGAATTGGATCACTAATAAAGGAAAATTAAGACCTACGTATTAATTGGCTATAGTTTCCAAGATACAGCTTCAGGTCAAAATTGTATCAATATAATTCAAAATTACGAGGGGTGTGTGCGATTATGCTCCATAATTTTTCTACAATGAGAATGGTGCCACACCAATCATTATAAATGTATATTTTTATTGATACCAATAACATAACTTTCCATTCATTCATTGTTTTTTCATGTAACATTTTCATGCTTTTTGCATGAAAATTCGACAAGCTCTAACATCAGATTAAAGGACAAGGTTCCATCTTTATTCGGTATCTAAACTGCGTTTTTTGGCTTTTCTCTTGTGAACTGCAGTAGGATCATCCCTGGAGAGATTCCAGCAGTAATCGGCAAGTGTGGACCGTCTCCGCAAGAGGTTCCACTGTTGTAATCTGGAGCCCAGTAGCTCTGCCTTACTCTTCGGCAATTCCAAATGCCTGACTAGGTCATTTAGTTCACTCTGTGAAATTAGATGTGGTTCAGGAGGTGCATACGGTGGGCTAAAGTTTAGGTGCGTTGACATCGACGGCCCCGGATCAGCTGCATCCCGTTCATCATCTTTATCATCATCTGAGTCTAGAGAGCAGGATTCTGGTGTATCTGGAATAGGCAAGTCTTCACCATGGGGTACAGGACGCAGTGCAGATATAATGTTTGGATATTCCACAGTCTACTTCTTCTTTCTTGAGATCCCTTTTGCAATTGGGGGAACCATGCAAAAATAGCAGTCGCTACTATGATTGGTGGGTTCCCTCCACACCATTAGGACTGTGAAAGGCATTTACTTTTTATTCTTGTTTAGACAATGACACAGATAAGTTGCACATGTAATGCAATAATAATGAGGGTCCCCATTCTTGTCCTGATCCCCTATTTTGCATCCAAAATATAGGTGGTTTGCCTTTTTTACAACTGCCGTCATACTGCACTTTTGAGATGCAAATGTAACCTCACTGTAACCTCAATGCAGAAGTTATCTGCATTGTTTATACAGTTTTGAGGCATCTTGGCTTCTGAGGGAAAATGTCACGCAACTGTGCCTTGGAAATGTTAGACAATGACACTTTCACAAGCCACTAGATGTAATTGTATGATGCGTAGATCTGACCAAGACAAATGTACCTTGCAATAAAAGAACAATAAATTACAGTTAGGCAATAATCTTTAGTCTCAGAGTGAAGATAAATGTATACACTTCAATGTGGTACCATTTTCATTGTTCTACCATACTTTGTGGAGAAGTTACGAGGCATCATGATCATCAGACACCTCCCTCCCTTGTAGGCAAATATACTCGCCTGTGTATAAATCTTTATTGTGAAATATCTTGAAAACTTTAGCCAACCAGCACCTTTATCACTTGTTTACTAATACATCTAATCAAAATATGTAAGATTTAACACATTTTATCTCGGGGGTCAATCATTTCCCAAAATTTGTAGTGTTCTTATTTACAACCATCCAGGAAAATTAGCATAGAGGACAGAATAATCCTCTAGATAGGCAGAGCCAGCTGTCAGTCACGCAGCTGGGCGGATCCCGGCACAATTGTCGGGATCTGCTTCAGCTGCGGTGTCTCAGTGTAGCGCGAGTAACAGCTCGCGGTATACTGCGGCGTCTCAGTATACCGTGAGCTACAGTTTGCGGTATACTGAGCCTAGGGTTACGGGAGGACGCTAGTTTGTGTCCTCCTGTTACCCTAAGGAGAACTATGGGGAAAAGACTTAACCCCATAGTTCTCCTTTAAAGATATACCTGTATGCAGTAAATAGCAAAGACTGCCAAATCTGTTTCTGGGATGTATGAAGGATCACTGTACCAGATCCAATATAGGTAGAAGTCAGGTAATCCAGTGTTCTAACCAGCATGGGAAGAACATCAGGCTCCAGTTTGATTACTGGCATGGTGGGAAATGTGCTAACCACCAAGCTCTATTTTGTACTACTATATAAAGTACACTTTTCAAAAGCATAGGTTTTTTTAAACTTCAGTATAGAAATAGTTGTTAAGAGACACAGCAACACTTAATAAAAGTAGATGTATTCTATTTTTACTTGTGGAAATAAGATTATTTTCTCACACTCTAGGTGCCACAGGAAACTTGTACCCACCTATGAGAGTGCTTCCATACGACGCTTTCGGATGGGGAGAGTGGACAATATAAGATCATCCACTGCTGAAGCGCTAACATTTGTAAAGGCAATGGTAGATGGGAAAGATACAGTACCGGTATGCTGCCTACATCAAATTGTGTTTATACTAGTTACAAATAATGATATCATTCTGCCATTTCATATAGTTTGGTTCATTGGCAATGGCAATGTTTAACCACTTAAAGGCCATAGTGTTTCACCCCCTTCCTGGCCAGGCCATTTTTCAGTATTCAGTGCTGCGGTACTTTGACTGATGTTTATTCTGTCATGCAACACTTTACTGAAACGATTTTCATACCATTTTTTGGGGACAGATAGAGCTTTCTTTTGGTGGCTTTTATTCACCAATGGGTGGGGGGGCGCGCACACCCGCAGATCGTGCAAGCAATCGGGCGTCTCTAGAGACGCCTGATCGCTTGTATGTAAACAGCCATCGCTGGCTGTTTACATGCTAACAGTTTTCCCTCTCGTGTGCGGTGCTCAGCGCGCGCACGAGAGGGGGGGAGGGGCAGGACGTCTTAAGATGCCCACCCGCTCTGAGCAGACTTCCGTCCGCCCGTTCACGAACGGCCATGGACGGAAAGTGGTTAAGTAACTTGTATCTTCAATCTTTACACTGATTAAAACTCCTATTGTTGGAGTATAAGAGTAAAGCCGTAAAATACCTCCAAAAGGAGGATTATATACATTTTTAACCCCTTCACGATTGATGACGTAAAGTGTACGTCGCCAGCATCGGGGCTGTTTAAATAGACTGTTTAAACTTGTAAAGCAGCTTGTCGGCTTTACAATAGAAGCGATTCTGGCGACTCAGCTGTCGTTGCCCCTCCTACGGCCCGGGACCGGCTTCTCTGGTGTCGGCGGGGAGCTATGGGACCGGGAGCGATGCCGATTGCATCACTCCTGGTCCCAGAGCTGTCAGTGCTGGGCTCCTGAAGCCCAGGTATAAGCTATTGAAGTGCGATCTGCACTTCAATAGCTTATTTGGAGTGTATAGCTTCAATAGCTTATTTTGGACCCCCAGCATCACCTTAAAGAGTACCTGTCACCACCATCTGCTATCACATTTGGGGGCTTGTAAGCCCCCCCATGTGATAGCAATCAAAGTAAAGTTTAAAAAAATAAATAACAGTTTTTAAAATTAAAATGAAATAAAATAAATCTAAAAATATATATTTTTTAAATGTTTAAAGTCCCCTGCCTCTGCAAGCATGCGCGTCACTACGTAAACACACGTCAGGCGTGCATACGTATGAAAACAATGAATGTGCTACACATGTTGGGTATCGCCACCCACGTCGGAGTGAGAGCAATAATTCTAGGGCCAGTATTTTTGGGTGTCTCTAAATTGATGACCTGTGGGGGCTTTTAAAGCGTCGTCTATGGACTTTTGGGGGTACAGAAGTTTGTTGTCATTTCACGGACGCACACAATTTTTAACCTGGGCATGTTGGGTATCTATTTACTCGTAACCTCATCTTTTATATTTTATTAAACAAATGGGTGTTTTATTGTGTTTTGGGGCATTTAAGTACATTTTTCACTAAATTTTGGGGTTTGATAAGGAGGTGCGCTAATATCCTGCAACATAAAAATTTGCAACTGTCAACATTTTATTTTATAGGGTCTCGGCTTTCCGAAAATATATAATGTTTGGGGGTTTTAAGTACTTTTCAGGCCTAAAATGTGGAATATAACATGGGTGCAAAAAATGAAGAAAAAAAAAGGCCTCAGTCATGAAGGGGTTAAACTGCAAACGTTCCCAGCACAGCCAACCAAGAAAATTAATGTTTTTTGCTGTTGCGTAAAATAGATATTAACTGCAGTTATTTTTATGTTAAAAAAAAATACATTTACTACATATTGTAAACTAAAAAGATAAATCCAGGTTTAAAACTGTAAGGGTGTTCTGGAAACCATCATTACAGGCATCTGCCTCCCAATAGTACTAGAGCCAACAAAAGTTCCAGTGCAAATCCAGACCTTGTGAAAGTCAGCATTTGGAAAAACACCACTCCATGTGACAGTGCCAGGGCCTGGCGATAGCTCACTGAGAGCTGACACGTGGGAGTTAGGTGAGGTCACTGTGAAGTGAACTACACATTTTGTTCAAGCACCTTCCCCCGAAGAAACAATTGTATAAAGAGCAAAATGTCAAATTTTGGAGCTTTGTAAAACATGTATCTCTCATAAGTTACTGCTTCAAGCTTGACACTATAGAGAATTTGAGAGAAAAAATAAACAAACTAAAGAACAGCTTCACCTTATTGTGTGGCCCTGCCTGGTTCGCATAGCCATTGCAGAAAAAAAAGTTCCAGCTGCTCCCCATTAATTTCTTTGGATGGCTGTGGTTGGCCATGAGTACTGACCAGCCAAAAAAATTAATGGGACAAGGGCACACATATGTGGTAGAAGCTGGACATGGCCAAGACTTTATTATGTAAAGGTTGTGTGGAGCTGTGTAGGGTCTCACAGTAAAGAACTTTTGAGCCGGGCCAAAACCAAGTATTCCAGTATGCCACCTACAGTGTGGGGGTGAGAGAAGATTTAAAGGACCACTTCCCTAAAATGTAGTTGTCCTTTTAGGGAAAAATGTGACCGCTAGATGAGCAACAGGATTATCTCTCTTCTCCTGCTGAATCCCCTTTTCAACCTCGTTCTTTCATTTTACAGACAAGTAGATAAAGAAGGTCTATCCTGCAGTACAGATGATATTATAGTTCTACACATACCAATATGGAATACACCTAGTAATATGAAAAAATATATACTAAGGTCTACGCTTTGATGACAGTTATGCAAGTGGACTGCCAAGTAATAAGCAGACTAAAGTGACAAAAAGTCTACCTTTATGTTTTTAGCACAGTATTATTAAGTTATATTTACTTATCAATGGGTTAACATGTGATCCACATCTCCCAATACAGAACAAACAAGTGTTCAATTTCCCCATAGGAATAAATTAAGACCTAGTAGCACAGAATTCAGCTGATAAATATACTGTTACTATTAAAGAAAATGTACAAATTATTGTTTAAATATATGTAATTATATTTTATATAGTTTCTTAAATGCATAACAAGCTTATTTTTAATGTATATGTTTTTGACATACTATACTTTATTTTTTATTTACAGGATTCAGAAAAAATGTCTCTTTTCCAAAATGCTATTGAAGCGCAAACAAATTACACCATTTTGGTATGTAGTTTAAGCTGCATGTGATTGTTATGAAGACGGAGTAGATACTCAGGCCAGGGTTACACATCAGTGATTCTGATGTTTACTTGTACTGATCTGTACTTGACGTTGAGTTATATTTAAAGATGTATGGGTTTTAAAGGAAAGTACAAACTGCCAAATGAAACTATGCAGCATTCAACAACATACAAAATAAGAACAGATATTGAAAAAGACACAAACTTACTGAAGCAAGAATGTGTAGTGTGCATACACACAAATAAGAGCAGATGAGTATCATTGAACACAACAAACAAATCAGGAAAAGTGAAATTATATAGTTTGCACGCTCCCCCAAAACAGTCTATCCAAGGACACCCAAAACACCACTCACGCTTGACTGGCTCAATCAGCACCTGACTGTGCCACCATGTCCAACTGAGCACCCAAACAGAGCTCCGGCTGCACCAGCCAGATCAAAGCCTATGTGTGGAGCAGAAAATGGATAGTCCTGGTACTGCGATAGTAAAACTAGCAGTGTCCTCCTGGGGCACACTGTCTTCTCTATCCTGCATGAGCCTTTTCTAACATTTGTCCACTCTGTGTCTCTGCCACACCCTCCTCTGTTACTCTGTCTTGCTTCATACAAATGGTTTCTATTATTATGGCATCCTTATGGGTTAATAGTCATAGACTTGTTCATAGGCTGTGCAACTACATATCTCAGCAGTTGTACTGGAACTATTAAATCCACAAAGAAGAGAAGGTAGCAGTACCGAGTATGTCATTCTTATCGTCACTACTGTCACTGTTCTTATCATTGCTGATTAATGTCATGGTTGCCTTTTTGTTGCCTGCATATTGTCAGGACTGTCCACTTATTGCTTTCATATTTTCATAATTGCTTGTTTCTTGGGTGTGTATTGTCACCATTGTCCATATTTTACTCTCGTATAGTCTTGTTTGTTCATTTGTTGCTCTCCGATTGTCACGCTTGCCTTTATGTTGCTCTCATATTGTCAGGATTGCTTATTTGATGCCTGTATATTGCTATGATTGCCTATTTGTTTCCCATGTATCTAAGAATTGCTTGTTTGTAATGCAGGTAACATTAGTATTGCCTTTGTTTTGTTTTTGTATGGTCGTTAGCGCTGTTTGTTTAATGAACCTTAATACTACATGATTTGAACTCCTGCAGACCTAGTCACTAAAACACAGCAATGTTAGCCCCATACAGTGGCTTGCAAAAGTGTTTACCTCCTTTGGCATTTTTCGTATTTTGTTGCATTACCACCTGGAATTATAATTGATTTTTATTTTAATTACATTACAAAAGTGGTGCGCCATGAAGCCCTACATAAGATCAGGTGTAACCAATTACCTTCAGAAGTCACATAATTCGTTAAATATAATCTAAGTATCACATGATCTCAGTATATCTACCGCTGTTCTGAGAGGCCCCAGAGTCTGCAACACCATTGAGCAAGGGGCACCATCAAGCAAGTGGCACCATAAAGACCAAGGAGCTCTTCAAACCCTTATCTGTACAAAGTCAGGGACAAAGTTGTGGAGAAGTACAGATAAGGGTTGGGTTATAAAAAAAAAAATCGAAACTTTGAACATCCCGCGAAGCACCATTACATCCATTATTAAAAAATGGAAAAAATATGGCACAAACCTGCCACCAAAACTCATGGACCAGGCAGAGGGCATTAATCTGAGAGGTAAAGCGACCAAAGGTAACCCTAATGGAGCTGCACAGCTCCATAGTGGAGATTGGAGTATCTGTCCAAAGGATCACTTTAATCCTTACACTCCACTGAGCTGGCCTGCATGGAAGAGAGGCCAGAAAAAGGCCAATGCTTACAGAACAAAATAAGCACTTGTGTTCGCCAAAAGGCATGTGGGGAACTCCCCAAACATATGAAAGAAGGCACTCTGGTCAGATGAGGCTGATGAGATGAGATTGAGCTTTTTAGCCTTCAAGGAAAATGCTATGTCTGGTGCAACCTCTCATCACCCTGAGAACACCATCCCCACAGTGAAACATGGTGGCAACAGCTTATCGGCAGGGACTGGCAACTGGTCAGAATTGAAGGAATGGATGGCGCTAAATACAGGGAAATTCTTAAGGAAAACCTGTTTGTCTGCCAGAGATTTAAGACTGGGATGGAGGTTCACCTTGCAGCAGGACAATGACTCTAAGCATACTGCTAAAGCAACACTCAAGTGGTTTAAGGGGAAACATTTAAATGTCTTGGAATGGCCTATTCAAAGCCCAGACCTCAATACATTTGAGAATCTGTGGCATGACTTGAAGATTGCTGTACAACAGCGGAGCCTATCCAACTTGAAGGAGCTAGAGCAGTTTGATCTTGAAGAATGGCCAAAAATCCCAGAGGCAAGATGTGCCAAGCTTAAGAGATGTACTCCAAGAGACTTGCAGTTGTATTTGCTGCAAAAGGTGGCAGAGGAGTGCAAACACCACAACACAGATCAACTCGGGGGAGTGTTGTCATATAAAATGCTTTACTGTAAAAGAACATTGCACACGGGCCATGAACTATAATCTATTTGCAAGCACATATTTAGCATCTAGACAAACAGTGCTGACACATTCACAGCAGATAGCAAACCCCCCTCCTCTTGCAGAGTTGGATCACGTACAGGAATTTACACACTCTTCCCCATTACTGTCTTCAAACAGAAGATGCATTTCCTATGTCACCTGCACTGTAGCCACATCTTGTCTCCTTCCTGCTGTTAAGATGAGGAAGGAGGTAACAAGGGAGCTGATGCCAAGCTGGGGACATAATTAGGGAGGCCAGATAATGCTTAGTACAACTCTCCACCATAACCAACAGTGAATAGAATAGTAGACTAGATTAATGATTAAAACCAACTATCATATTATAGTACATTAGACCTAAACTATATGATACTATAGTACCTTAAAGGGGTTCTAAACCCTCTGGTTTTCTTGCCTATATCTACTGCTAGACAGCAATAGATGTAGGCAAAAAGTTGAAGAAGAAAAAACAAAAACGCTTTAACAGCGTTTTAAACTTACCTTGTTTTCGTCACGCGCTCCCGCCCGAGAAACCGAAACTGCTCGGGCGGCCGCAAAGCATCTTGGGGCGGGCGCATGCGCAGTTCGGATTCTCGGGCGGGAGACGAGCAGAGACGCAAGGTAAGTCTATGGACGCATGCACCCGCATGCAGACACCGCTGGATCGGAAGTGCCTGCAGGCAGAGAGGAGTCAGCGCTGGATCGGAGAGCCGCCGCACCGCTGGAGGGACATATGAAAACATCAGGAAGGAAGAAGATCGGATTAAGAAACCTAATTTAAGGTAAGTGCTAACATTAACATTGGGGGGAGGGAAAACCATTTTTGACTTTAATGTCACTTTAAACCTAATCTATACTATGCTGCACAATACTATTCATGTTTATGATGCATTTATCAAGGTAAAAACTATACATCAGTCAGACACAAAAGGCACAGCCCACTCACCAAATTAAGCAGAATACATATTGCAGCCTCAAAGAAACTATCTATGCAGCCTTTAAATACAAAAACGCAGCACACAACTCTTTATCTCTATATCTATATATCTATAGTTTATGTTGACGCATTGAAGAATGCTGTGAGAAAAATGTGAGTGTCTTTACATTGGAAAATTCCCAATGTAAAAAGCTTTGAAAGTATTGTACAACCCTATGTAGGTTACAGTGGTAAATACTGCATTATAATATAATGTGATGCTACAAGATAGCAAAGACAAATTAAATTAATTTTAACTGGAAATCTCTTGCAATGGGATGCAACTTTTACACCTTCCACTGAATTCTCGTGAGCTCTGCTATTTGTTAGGACACACAAGTGATTTTATCTGACATAAATCTGGTGCCCTTGAGATTCTATTCCAAATGGTTTAATCAAATGTACCGCCTAGTGCTGTGTAATATTAGCTGTTCTCAATTTCCCATCTGGCATGGCATTGATAAATGTTGCAAAATGTCAATGTTATGAAAAATGTAAATGTTATGTGGTAACATGACATTTCATTTAATCTGCTGGCCAGTTTCTCTTAATGAGGTTGAATAGAAATCAAAGTGACAGGACACAGCTCTGGTGAAGGACCCATTTTGGGCCCTGCAGCTTTTCAACATTAACCCCTCACTGAGTAATGTCCTGACTACTTTTTTATATGGTAAAACTGTATAAATCTCACAGCCAAACTTTGTATTGTTCTGTTTATTCAACAACATCAACACATCTGGAAGATATTTATAGTCTATGCCTTGTTTCTACAGGGCAAAGCAACAGGGTCACTTTAATAGAAGCCCCAAAAGCTGCACACACTCACCTACCCTTTGGTCTCCATTAGACCACTGGGAATGAAGAGAAGTTGTCCTGGGTAAGCATGGTTTACACAGGGCTGGGGACTCTCTACCCACACCTATGTCACAGCTCTGGGTGGAAGTGCCTATCATATGAGTGGAACAGGGGTAAATAACATGCTCCCTCATACCCAGAAGTAACAGGTATGTTTTTTCACTCCTGTGACAAAGTCACAGGGAAGAAAATGTGTTTTGCTTGTCAGGCTGCTATTAAAAATAAATAGTTGTTTTGCCCATGCAGGTAGGGTAAAGTAACAGGTTTACTTTAAACCTTTACCATGCCATTATTTCTGCCATCTATCACCAGCTTTTAAGCACAGTACTAGTTTTGGACAATTGCTTTTTGACAACCAAAAAGTTCCCAATTGCTTAACAGCACAATAATAATTATTTCCAGTATCTAAATATAAAACTGAATTCTAAATAGTTCATTAGCTACATTTAGGCAGTGAGAAAAAGAGTAATGAAAAATTACAAAGCAAGGTGCAAGTTAAAATGTCCATGAGCCACAATAAGTAAATATATCAATAATTAATTCGTTTTTTTATATCCACGGAAGTGTTTTCTATGCTGCATATTTCTATATATTCTAGGCCATCGTATTTTTGCTAAAATC